CTTGGATCTTGCGGCCGATCAAAATCTCCCTGTCAACCCAGACAGATCATTCGCCCCCTACGACCTCAGTCTTTCAGTGTAGAGAAAAACGAGTCTTTTTTATATGACGTCTCCAGCAGAAGACTCAGCTGGTCCGAGTCGACCTTTGTATGTTCCCCCGGCTACGCCAGCGGTACCTCAAGCGTATCCGAATTTACAAACAGCCACACAGGCAAGTTTGCTCGTCTATTCGTCAATTTCATTTTTATATCTGATATGTCCTCTCTATAGCTCAAGCGCACCATCTCTCTACCTCGACGATTCAGGAGAACGGCTTCTAAGCAGGAAGACTGCTTGCGAGTTCTGAAAGCAAGTACGTGGTATATTCCTCTTGTTTGCCTATGTAACAAACAACTTACGCGCTGGACAACGACGAATGATCTAGCATTCAAGAAGAATGACTTTCGAGGCCGACAGCGGGAGATCATGGAGGCGGCTGTTCGTGGAGCTGATGTCTTGGTCGTTGCTCCGACGGGCATGGGAAAGAGGTACGTAGCCTAGTGTTGACTATATTGGGCCCTACCTCACAAACGCTTCTGCTCGTGTCAGTCTGTGCTTTCAAGTTCCGGCAGTTGCGGACAGCCACGGAATTACCGTCGTTATCTCTCCATTGTTATGTGAGTATCTTCGTCAGCTATCATTCTACGTTGACAGATTCTTACTGCTGTCTTCCGCCGATACAGCACTGATGAAGAACCAAGTGGAAGCATTGCGAGGCTATGGAGTCAAGGTACACATGCTCAGCTCGGAAAGTACCATGGATGAAAGGCAAGAAGTGAGTCTGATTCCTGCTTCTCCACTCCTACTCATCCTGGTGCTTTGTTTACCTGCCTTCTTTCGCGTTCAGATCGAGAGAGATCTGGCGTCAGGGCACCCGCTCGGTCGACTGCTGTATCTCACTCCAGAAGCGCTCTTCTCTCGCCATTTTCTCAAGAGCTTGAAAAAAGTCGTAGGACAGCAGGAACTGCGTCGGCTGGTAGTCGATGAAGCCCATTGCATCTCAGTACGTTCATTTGTTCCTGTAGTGGATAGAGAGGATAACGTTGACTAACCCGCCTACTAGGAATGGGGATCTTCGTTCCGACCGGTAAGACGAGCACCGTAATCAGGCTGTAACCTGCTTCTAGCTGATGCATTGGAAGTATTGCAGGAATATCGAAAGCTTGGCTTCTTTCGGGAGACCTTTCCTCATGTCCCTATCATGGTAAATCTGAACATCCCTAACAAGCTCTACGAGTACTGACTTTTGATTGTGATCTGAAGGCTTTGACGGCTTCCGCCACTGCAAGAGTGCAAAAGGACGTGTTACAGAGCCTGAAGATGGATCCCAATTATTTGTATCGATGCGTGGAACCGTTCAACAGAAGTAACTTGTACTACGAAGTAGGTGAGCGTATTCGGTTTGGTACGTGCTTGACTGACTTTCTTGTACTTTTCAGGTCAGATACCGGCCAGAACCGGATCACGACAGACTTCAGGACGTGAAAGCATATATTGAAGCCTTGCATCGCCGCGCGCCGCCGCACCCGACCATTTCTTCGAAAAGGTCTGTCGTTTCCGGGATCATTTACTGCAGGAGTAAAGCACTGGTACGTGGACTGCGGTAGTTTGTTGAGCAAGTCGAGGCATCATTGACCCGTCCTTTCCGATGGGTGTTAGTGTGATGCCGTGTCAGACTTTCTCCAGGAAAACCACATAAAGGCTAGACCGTTCCATCGTGGTCTCAAAGGTCACGCGCTGGATGACACCTTGAAAAAGTGGCTTAAGGGGGATATCGATTGCGTCGTTGCTACTATAGCATTTGGGATGGTAAGAGATTACCGACTCCCCTTGATGGCGCTAGCTAATCTGGTTATGATAGGGGATTGACAAGCCGGATGTGAGATATGTGATTCATTGTGAATGACCATCCATGTTTTTCTGAAGCTTGGACTTGGGCTGACATGCAACATCTTCTAGTTGACCTGCCTAAGAGCTTCGAGGGTTAGTCAGCAAATCAAAACGATCTAGGGCTGCGAGAGATAACCACCTTCTCCATCAGGTTACTATCAAGAGACCGGCCGTGCGGGAAGAGATGGTAGCGTAAGTGTTGAGGAACAGCTGCATGGTTGCTTGTTGATCATTTACCTGTGTCTGTCGCCGCAATTCCAGGTTGCCAAGTGTCTGCTTTACTACTGTACGTCATGCTGAACTGCGCTCAGAGATCATGTCTCATATTCACTGTTGCTGTTTTTCAGCTCGTGAGGACGCGTATAGACTACGTCGACTTGTGACGATGGAAGAGGACAAGAAGAAAAAGGGTAAAGAGAAGGACGGTTCAGAGGACGATGATGACCTTCATAGTGGACTGGATAGTTTCAAGACGGTAAGCAACTTACATGGCATAGTGGCTGTTGTGGCGGATGACGGAGACTTGCAATTCTATTCAGGTCCAACATTACGCCGAGGACACAAAGACCTGCCGACACGTAGCGATCTGTCGATATTTCGGGGAGAAGATTGATGAAACAGATTCGTCTATCGCCGGTCTGTACTGTCAGAAAATGTGCGATGTGAGTGTTGCGTGTTCTACCGTGTGATGTTACGATAGCTCATCAATATTGTATCCTTCAGATATGCGCTCATCCCGAGAAAGTGGCACTGCGCGCCACCCATCTGACAGAAGATGTGGTTGTGGCGTCGCAGGTCCCCAAGAGAAAGGAATGCAATCTCGACTCGTTCGCACCAGTGAATTCGGTCAACTTTTACAATCTTGATGTGCGGCAGGCTTTGGCTGCCGAGTCATCGCACCGTCCATCAGCTCCGACAATATTACAAAGAACAGGCGTTGCCATCCCGCCACCACCAAAGGTTCCTCCGAGAATACAACCTATACCTCAAGTAAATCCATACGCTGCTGCAGTATCCGCTTCTATGTCGACGGCTCGCCGTCCATTTGGACTGTCAACCAACCCCAATAGATCGGTTCCAACGCCAGAAAGACAACCCAATACAGTGATCGTAGAGGACCTGCCAAGCAAGCCAACGAAGAAGATGAAAACGGTAGAGGCGAGTCCTTACGCTGCCTCGCCATCTGTAGCTGGTAAGCCCCTTGTTGTCCATCTGAAGAACGCGATGATTAATAGTTGTCCTCCTTGCTGTGGGCGTGCAGCAAACCGTAATACTTTCAACCTCAAGCCATTCAAGACCCCATTCGCTTCAACGCAAACTCCAGCGGCTCCATCAGGCGGTACTCAGCGCGTTCGGAATCGCTTGACCCAGAGTAGTATGTCGCCGTCGTCGGGTCTGTCATTCTTGACTGACTGGGCCTCGTTCCATTCAGCTTCTCTCGACACATCTTATGACGAAGGTGACATTCAGGTCCTAGCACAGTGCTCTCAGAAAATAGGGGTAAGTGGTCGTACTTGTTCCCGAGGTCCGCTACTCACGCGTCTGTCTTGTAGATATCGCTGCGCAACGCTGGGCTAAAGTCGGTAGTCAGAGCACTTGGCAGAGCCTTGACGGCGGACACATGGTTACGACTGCTTGGTCACGACGTGGATGAGAGAATGAAAGCGCAGGACAGGTGTGTCAAGCATGCTCAGAACCATATGATAGCCCGCTGAAGACGACTCTCGCAGGAACAAAGCTATACTGGTTGCCGCAAAGGACTCTGAATACGGTGTGTTTGACTGCTTGATTTATATACACGGATACTCACGCCGCTCTATCTTAATCTAGACATCCTTTGCATGTCCGTCACCCCTGAAGGATTTAGTACGTGAATGCATGCGCTCGTTTGTATTGCCCTGACTGACGCATTACGGCAGACGCTCGTATCGAAGAGCTGGTGTCCGCGATTGAGAACACATCCGCCTGGAACGCGCTGCTTACAAGGCGAGACTCGTCAGATGATACCGAGGATGACGAGGTGCTCGGGCTGCGTGCGCTGGAGAAGAATATATTGGCGTATTGCAGCAAGGCGGCGAAGAGGGTGTCGGGCCATTCATAGGGCTTGCTCCATGCTGATAGTTCTTCCGAACGACTAGACTTGTAAACGGAAGGAAAGCAACGTAACCTATGTTCAACATCCGACATGGATCGTTGACGTTAGCAGGCAGTAGGCTCGGATAATGGTGAAGTTCGTGCGTCAAGACATGCTGCAACGGTCTGCGAAAGGTCTACAGCGATACTTGTGTACCAATGTCGTCACATTTTACTAGGGTAAAACTTGACACCGAAAGACATGAGCGAACCCTTCCCGATGTACCTCGGACGACAGCGGGAAGGAACGACTATGTGGAGAAGCAATCGATATTCGACTGCCATGCAGCGTTTGCGGTGCTTGCGAAAAAGACTCACAGTGTGATAGTGCAATAGAAAATGTCGTCAGGGATGTCGCAAAACCAGTGGTAAAAATGTTGTCCTCCGACTCAGCAAGCCCACACGTTGGCTCAAAAGGTGCAAAAGAAGTTTGTTCCCCCGCGGGGAGTCGAACCCCGGTCGCCCGCGATCTACAGATGAACTGTTTGAAAGGCGGATATACTAGCCGTTGTACTACGAAGGATGATAGATAAAGCATTTTGTCCTTTAGTCATATAAACACGTGTAATGCCTATTTTGGCCCGTGCGTGTGATGGACAAGGAGATATGTAGCGGAAATAAGACAAAGACCTTATACATCATCACTGGTCGCAGTACATGTGATTTGCCAGGTTGGGACCCCTGCGATTTCGAGGTTGAAACGTTCCGGTGAATAATGACGGTGAACAAACGGAATGCATTCAAAACGGGTTATGGCATTGCCGCGAGATTAGCTGCTGATGTAGGTTCAAAAAGGTAGGGATGACTGCGAGCTTTTCATCGAATACGTACTACTCCTACCACAGTTGAAACCACTATGACAGATGCTCACATTCAAACGAGGGTTTGAGAAACTCCATGCATCATGGACAAAAATGAAGCAAAAGAGTATTCACTGCTTCTCCCTAGCCGATTTGAACGACTGACCTCGACATCTCGATATGGTATTTTACTAGTGTCGCGCTCTACCACTGAGCTAAGGGAGATGACGATGTAGCCGGAAAAGCTGCTAAACATATATCGAGCATTTCCCGGTCTAGAAACTTTCCCCTTCGGCAGTTCCTAGCCAGTCAATTTATCGCTCAACCTGCGGTTCAAAATCGACGACGAACTTCCGACCAGGTGTCGAAAGCGTCAACATTGTCCCTAGACGCTTTGAGTGCCTGCGTCTCCTGCTGGCCGCTCTAGGAGCAGCTGTAAAAACTCAAGGACTCGAGAAAGGGTGAGCGATTTCGCTTAGGTAAGCCCGATTTAATCACGTGCGAGGCTTTCAGTCGAGCCAGTGAGTCTGTACAATCGAAGCCAGCAGCAAGCTCATATCAAGTTGTCCCTGCTTCATTTTCCAACTGTTCCACCTCGAACTTTGTCTCTACACTCATCCGGTCAACATGTCATTCCTCGCTCCACGAATATTTTCCGCTGCCGTGTCCCGATCGACATCGGTACCGTTCTCGCGAACGTTTGCTGTGACTTCACGTTGGCAGAATCAAGGGTCTTCGACTCCTCCTTCAACATCACGCTCTTCATCCAAGCCATCCGCTGAACCAGTATCATCTATCCCGTCGCTCTCCTCTTTCCAGGGATCTACACCAATCGCACCAGAATCATCATCATCATCGTCGAGGGCCGCCGCAGATGCACCAGACGTTATTGCCCAGTCGTTCCTGTTAAACCACCTTCCGACAGCACAATCCGAATCATCTGAACCCATTACCTCGGAATCCTGGTGGAGGGACACTTATGGGAACCGAGCGTGGCCGAAACCGGGGAACCAATTCACCGGTCGTTCAGTCACTGTTGCGAGGAACTCGGGGGACGTGGCGACCGCGATGAGGCGGCTAGGAGGGATCTTAGCGAGGAATAGGATAAAGCGTGAATTGAAGTTGGGAGAGTATTATGAGAAGCCGAGTGAGAGGAAGAAGCGGTTGGCGGTGGAGAGGCATAGAAGACGGTTCCAGGATTTGGTGAGTACATGCGCCGGGATGTATAGGGCGTGTAATCTGTGCGGAAACGACAAGCTGACCGACTGTGTATTTACTGCGCCCAGGTGCGACAAAAAGTACAACTCGTACAAGCTATTCGAAGTCGATCGTGATGAATGGTTGTTCGGAAAGGATATATCGGTTCTCTATACCTGTATAATCTTGTGCGCTTGACGTTCATGTACGGCTTGTACAAAGCTGTATACGGGTTATACGAGGAATTCTCATGACCGTAGGCGTTGATGCAGAGGGGAAACGACGGTTTAAACGACCAACGGTCGGCTTTTACTCACTCTCAATCACACTGGAAAGAGGCCTGCCGGTGCCTGTTACGTTTCGACAGAGCCGCTTAAAGTATCGGATGAGAAGACTTTGAGGATACGAACGCGGAGGTGCGAGTCGGTGGTCGAGCAGGCCGTTACCATGTTACGGCTACGGACTGCGGTAAATGACTGTAAGATGTTGTGGCATCGTTTGTATGACTTGGAGCGGTGATGAGCGGTGTCCATATGGTATATAGAGTCGAGGTACCTTTTGCCCTTGTAAAGACTTGGGCCTGCGATCGGGGAACGGGGATCGACCTGAAACATTAGCGACAACACAAAGTGTCGACCCAATATTTGATTTCAACAGCGGACTATACAAGTCCACTATTCCAGTATAACCTGCTATAAGCATGACACCATGCCTCCACGGAAAAAGGTAGCAGAAGTTGCTCTTAATGAAGTCACAGCCTCTCTCGCAGGAACACCAACATCTGCTACACCGTGCAAAGTTGCACCCATTGTCAAGAAATCAACATCTACACTCGCAGACGGCAATCACGCTTTCCCACCATTCTACGCTTGTTATCTGTTACGATCAAAGGCTGTAGAAAACTCACAGCGAACCTATGTCGGATCTACGAATGATGCACCGAGACGGCTAAGGCAGCATAATGGAGAGTTGACGGCTGGTGCGGTAAGGACGAGGCATGGCAGGCCGTGGGAGATGCAGATGATTGTGTACGGGTTCCCGAGCAAGTTGGCTGCTTTGCAAGTGAGTTTTATTCACGTTGTGTTCCTTGTGAATGCAAAGAGGGAATCCGAGCTGATAGGCCGGTCCCTGACAATGACGACGACAACGACACCAGTTCGAATGGGCATGGCAAAAACCGCATATTAGCCGCAACCTCCGCGTCGAGTCAGAAGCCGATATCACACCTCTCGCAGCATTACTTCAAGCAGCTTCTTCCAGCGAACTTCTACCGCCCATATTCCCCGCCAACAAGACACGAAACTGGCTAGATGTGAAATTAGCAGTCGTACGAACCATGCTCACCCGCACACCGTACTCAAGACTTCCACTCCACGTGAGGATCTTTTCGCAGCACGCATGGGAAATGTGGCACGAGTTCAACAAGACCCATGGATCGGATTTGCCAGCGGATATGGTGGATCCACTGCAGGGCAAGGGAAAGGGAAAGGGCAGGAAACGCAAGCAAGGCAAGAACGGCGTGATCACAATCAATGGCCAGGAGTATGGGCCGTTTAAACCATTACCGCCGTCGGTGGACGTTACCCTGGACATGGGAGGAGTGGATGGAAAGACGATGAATAGGAAGGAGGGGACGACGGGCGTGACGAGGCTGCATGGACCCATTGATGTCAACGATACGGCATTTAGAGACGCACATTTCGCGAAATGGCAGAGGGTGGTGCCTATGCAGCAGCAGCAAGAAGGTATTGATGGCAAAATGGTCGGGGAACAGGAACAGCAAAGTCATGGTCGAAACCCTGTCTGTGGGATTTGCAGAGAAGGGATCGATATTAAGGTATGTTACAGGTGCAGTATACATTGTTGATACCTTTCACTCAAGCTGACTCTTTTGATTTTATGCTAGAACCATCAATCGTTTGCACTTTGTCCATCAAATCATACAACCTCGGAATGTCATGCGTTGTATCATCTCCAATGCCTCGCTCGGCACTTTCTACGGACCGAGATTCGCACACCACCACCACCAGCAACCTCACCAACTTTGGCCACCCCCAGCCCTCGATTCTTATTGCCGAAGAACGGCACCTGCCCCTCTTGTGAAACAAGAGTCGAATGGGGTCAGGTTATTCGGGGTTGTTATGCTCGACGGGACGGGGAGATTGGTTCCCTTGAGTCTCTTGAAAAGGAGACGATCAAGGCTGCGAAAAAGCAAGCGTCAGAGGAGAAAAAGAGGCTCAAGGCTTTGGAAAAGGCAGCTGCGAAGAAGGGAAAGGGACGAGGAGCGGCTTCACAGGCTTTACCAGATGATGATGACGATGATATGGATGAGCAAGACGAGATGTCTGAGTCTGACGCAGACTCAGACGCCGGAGGGAATGAAGACGACGAGGACGACGAAAACATGAGAAGCATGGTTCGGGAAGGCGATACCTCGGAAAACTCGATGAGTGGCGATGATGACGGACGAGCGGAGACGGCCAGGGTACCGGTTCCCGTAAAGGCTCGAGGGAAAGCGACGGCGGTCGCCAGAAGGGGACGCGGGAGAGGGCCGGGGAAGCCAGCGACGGGCAGATCTACGAAAAAGTATGAAAATGCAGCGGGAATGGAGGACGGCGGAAGTGAAAGCGAAGGCACGAGGCTGAATAGGGAGATGATGATGATGACCGATTCGGATTGAGGGAGAATTTGTCAATGCCAAGCTAATGGTAGATAGCATATCAAAATGCGCATAATGTGATACATGCAAGGCCACGTCTTTCTGCTCGTCCTCCCAGATTACATTGAAACATTTCTTTACGTACAACATATCAATAGTTCCCGATTCCGCGTACGCTACTCACACCGCCCGAGGGATTATGCCAAGTCACATACGCCGTGAATCCTCTCGATCACCTCGCTCAAGACGTATGGCTTTATGATCACGCTGTCCATACCTTCGCCCAAGGCTTCCTCTATTTGTGCTTGCCGTGCATTGCCGGTCAAAGCGAATACCCAACTCCTCTTCAGCTTACCCGCCGACTCTTCTTCTCTGATCAGTCGGATTGCTGTTAAGCCATCCATGACAGGCATCTCTAGATCCATGAGAACGACATTGAAGGGTGCGTCGATGGCGCCTTCCATAGCACATACTTGACGTATGCGATTCACGGCTTCTTGGCCGTTGTTCGCAGCCTCACAGATCATCCCAGCCTTCCTGAGCTGCCGCAGTAGTACTTTTTGATTAATCATGTTGTCTTAATGAGGAGCGCGTCAGTCTGAAGGCGACCAGGAACATGGATCAGCAAAAACGAACCTTCAACGACCAAGACTCTGATTTGCACGTCCGGCTTGGTGTCCCTTCGTTTCGCGACATGTTCTTCTACCACCGGTATATCCCCATCGTCCTCCAAAGCACGCTTCTGAGACGGACATGCTGTAACTCTAACAAAGAACCGGAAAGCTATGCGAGAATTGGGGTCAGCTACATGTACGGTAACAACGAGTGTCAAGACACATACTGCAGCCCTGACCATATTCGGAATCGACCTCTATACGCCCACCCACTAAGTAAAGATAGGTCAGATGGGTTAGCAAAAGGTCACCGCGATAAGCAGCGACACGAACTTTGATGAGAGATTTGCTTCGAGATCCACAGTCCCAGCCCTGAACCTAAACATCAATTCACAGAGGTTCAGCCGAAATACTGAAGCCGATGGTTACCTCGACCAGTGGCATACCTCCGAAAACTTTGTTAGATTGCTTGCTAGCTTGACTGAATCGCTTGAAAAGCAGTGAAACGTCTTCCTTCGCTAGGCCTGGACCAGAGTCTATCACAGAAGGCAAGTCAGTTTGTAGTTTACGATTATTGTGCAACGCGCTTACCTGAAACGCTGATATACAGGTAGCAGTTATCACCATCTTGAATCGTAGCTGGGAACGGTGTACTCGGTGGTAAACAAGTCATATCGCTGCAGCGAATTGACAGCATTAGTAACACTACCTGACGATAATAGAATGACGAAGCTTACCTCGGTAAATCGGGAGAG